TTCTTCTCAAGTATACCTGGAACATTCTCCAGGATAGATCACATCTTGGGTCACAAATCAAGCCTCAGTAAATTTAAGAAAATTGAAATCATATCAAGCATCTTTTCTGACCACAATTTTATGAGATTAGAAATAAATTACAGGAAAAAAATGTAAAAAACACAAACACCGGAGGCTAAACAATATGCTACTAAATAACCAAGAGATCACTGAAGAAGTCAAAGAGGAAATCAAAAAATAACTAGAGACAAATGACAACAAAAACATGATGACCCAAAACCTATGGGATGCAGCAAAAGCAGTTCTAAGAGGGAAGTTTATAGCAATACAAGCCTATCTCAAGAAACAAGAAAAACCTCAAATAAACAATCTAACCTTACACCTAAAGGAACGAGAGAAAGGAGAACAAAGAAAACCCGAAGTTAGTAGAAGGAAAGAAATCATCAAGATCAGAGCAGAAATAAATGAAATAGAAACAAAGAAAACAATAGCAAAGATCAGTAAAACTAAAAGCTGGTTCTTTGAGAAGATAAACAAAATTGATAAACCTTTAGCCAGACTCATCAAGAAAAAGGAGGAGAGGACTCAAATCATTAAAATTAGAAATGAAAAAGGAGAAGTTATGATGAATACTGCAGAAATACAAAGCATCATAAGAGACTAGTACAAGCAAATCTACGCCAGTAAAATGGACAACCTGGAAGAAATGCACAAATTCTTAGAAAGGTATAACCTTCCAAGACTGAACCAGGAAGAAATAGAAAATATGAACAGATCAAACACAAGTAATGAAATTGAAACTGTGATTAAAAATCTCCCAGCAAACAAAAGTCCAGGACCAGATGGCGTCACAGGTGAATTCTATCAAACATTTAGAGAAGAGCTAACACCCATCCTTCTTAAACTCTTCCAAAAATTTGCAGAGGAAGGAACACTCCCAAACTCATTCTACAAGGCCACCATCACCCTGATAGAAAATCAGACAAGGATACTACAAAAAAAAGAAAATCACAGACCAATATCACTGATGAATATAGATGCAAAAATCCTCAGCAAAATACTAGCAAACAGAATCCAACAATACATTAAAAGAATCATACACCATGATCAAGTGGGATTTATCCCAGGAATGCAAGTTTTCTATAGTATACACAAATCAATGATACACCATAATAACAAATTGAAGGATAAAAACCATATGATCATCTCAATAGATGCAAAAAAAGCTTTTGACAAAATTCAACACTGATTTATGACAAAAACTCTTCAGAAAGTGGGCATAGAGGGAACCTACCTCAACATAATAAAGGCCATATAAGACAAACCCAGAGCAAACATCATTCTCAATGGTGAAAAACTGCAAGCATTTCTTCTAAGATCAGGAACAAAACAAGGATGTCCACTATCACCACTATTATTCAACATAGTTTTGGATGTCCTAGCCATGGCAATCAGAGAAGAAAAAGAAATAAAATTGGAAAAGAAGTAAAATTGTCACTGTTTGCTGATGACATGATATACATAAACAACCCTAACGATGCCACCAGAAAACTACTAGAGCTGTTCAATGAATTTGAGTAAAGTTGCAGAATACAAAATTAATGCACAGAAACTCTTGCATTCCTATACTCTAACAACAAAAGATCAGAAAAAGAAATTAAGGAAGCAATCCCACCCACCATTTCAACAAAAAGAATAAAATACCTAGGAATAAACCTACCTAAGGAGGTAAAAGACCAGGAGTCAGAAAACTCTAAGACACTGATGAAAGAGATCAAAGATGACACAAACAGATGGAGAGGTATACCATGTTCTTGGATTGGAAGAATCAATATTGTGAAAATGACTATACTACTCAAAGCAATCTACAGATTCAATGCAATCCCTATCAAATTACCAATGGCATTTTTCACAGAACTAGAACAAAAAATCTTAAAGTTTGTATGGAGACACAAAAGTCCCCAAATAGTGAAAGCAATCTTGAGGGAAAAAGCAGAGCAGGAGGGATCAGGCTCCCTGACTTCAGACTATACCACAAAGCTACAGTAATCAAGACAATATGGTACTGGCACAAAAACAAACATTTAGACCAATGGAACAGGATAGAAAGCTCAGAGATAAACCCACGCAGCACCTAAGGTCACCTAATCTATGACAAAGGAGGCAAGAATATACAGTGGAGAAAAGACAGCCTCTTCAATAAGTGATGCTGGGAAAACTGGATAGGTACATGTGAAAGAATGAAATTAGAACACTCCCTATCACCATACACAAAAATAAACTCAAAATGGGTCAAAGAGCTGAATGTAAGGCCAGACACTATAAAACTCTTAAAGGGAAAACACAGGCAGAACAATCTTTGACATAAATCACAGCAAGATCTTTTTTGACCCACCTCCTAGAGTAATGGAAATAAAAACAAAAATAAACAAATGGGACCTAATAAAACTTAAAAGCTTTTGCACAGCAAAGGAAACTATAAACAAGACAAAAAGACAACCCTCAAAATGGGAGAAAATATTTGCAAATGTACCAACAGACAATGGATTAATCTCCCAAATATATAAACAGCTCATGCAGCTCAATATCAAAAAACCAAACAACCCAATCAGACAATGGGCAGAAGACCTAAACAGACATTTCTCCAAAGAAGACACAGATGGCCAGGAGGCACATGAAAAGCTGCTCTACATCACTAATTATCAGAGAAATGCAAATCAAAGCTACAGTGAGGTATCACCTCAGACTGGTCAGCATGGGCATCATCAGAAAATCTACAAATAATAAATGCTGGAGAATATGTGGAGAAAAGAGAACCCTCTTGCACTGTTTGTGGGAATGCAAATTGATACAGCCACTATGGAGAACATTATGGAGGTTCCTTAAAAAACTAAAAATAGTATAACTATATAACCCAGCAATCCCACTACTGGGCATATACCCAGAGAAAATGATAATTCAAAAAGACACGTACACCCCAATGTTCATTGCAGCACTATTTACGATAGCCAGGTCGTGGAAGCAACCTAAATGTCCATTGACAGACAAATGGATAAAGAAGCTCTGGTACATATATACAATGGAATATCACTCAGCCATAAAAAGGAATGAAATTGGGTCATTTGTAGAGACGTGGATGGACATAGAGACTGTCATACAGAGTGAAGTAAGTCAGAAAAACAAATATCGTATATTAATGCATATATGTGGAATCTAGAAAAATGGTACAGATGAACTGGTTTGCAAGGCAGAAACAGTGACATAGATGTAGAGAACAAACATATGGACACCAAAGGGGGAAACGTGGAGGGATGAACTGGGAGATTGGGATTGACATATATACACTAATATGTATAAAATAGATAACTAATAAGAACCTGCTGTATAGCACAGGGAACTCCATTTTGCTCTATAGTAGAAACTAACAGAACATTGTAAAACAGCTATACCACAATTTTAAAAAAAATTATTGAGATAATGCTCTGTTTTAATGGTCCTTCTGAGTCAATACCAAAGAGTCATCCTCTAGACATTTTATGACAGTCAGGAAAATGGATGCTTTTAATCCATGAGACCGGCTCTTAGTCTAAGCAAATTTGTGGAGATGAAATGGATTCTACAGGTAAAACATTACAACTGTATTTTAAAGCAGAAGGACACACAGGACCAGAGCTTGTAAATGGCTTGTCCACTACTTAGTGATCAGGTTATGATAAGAATCTAGTTTTCCAGTCCATTACTTCATTCATAGTACTTGCTGATTTCCACCTTACAAAAATGGTTCATAACACTGCACAGATTTAAAAAAAAAATCAGTGTGATATTTATTCTCTCAAAAGGCAGGAGGTGGAAGTGTGAGAGGCAGGTAGTGGCATAAACAAGGGTTTGATAATCTGGGTTTATGCTACTTCCTAGCTATATAACCCCAGGTAAATTTGAAAACCTCTTCAAACCTAAGCTTCCCTTTCTGTGAAGTGGGGATAATGAGTGTACCTATTTCAGGGTTATGAGATTTAAGTCAGATAGTGCACTGCAACGTGCCGAGCACAGTCATTATCTTGTATGCCCGTATGAGATGATGACTCAGTGTGTCCTGATTTATGCATTTGTTGACCTGTATACAGTGAGCATGCTTCATCAGTCTCTTCTTCACTGTCATGCCCACAATGGCCCCACACTTGCTCAGCACTTGTTGGTGGTCCTCTATTAACAAATTAATGATAATTGGACAACTGATAGGAAAGGTGAGTGATGACTTCAGGTATTTACTGATGAAATAATAAACACTTAGAACTTTAGAATTGCAGTGGTCTTTCCAAGTTATGTAGCTCAGTTCTGTATGAGATGGAAACGTCTTCTGCAGAATACTCCAGAGTTAAAAACAAATTAAAAAAATCCATCTAGATGTCTTAGTTCCCTTCCTCAATTCAGTCCAACCTTGTTAACGTCACAGCTAGCATTTACTGAGCACCTACTGTGTCCCAGGCACCGTATTATATTATGCTCCATATGTGTGTTCTCAGTGAATGCTCATCATAATCTTATAAAGTTCTGCCATTTTTGCCCCATTTTTAAAGATGTATAGACTGAGGTTCAGGGAGGTTAAACAATTTGCCTTTGGACACACAAGAGCACTATGACTTGAAGTATATTTGACTTCAAATTCTAAGCTCTCAACCACATCCCACACAAAGAATAAAGCCGAAATCATCCCCTCTGGATAATTCATCTGCCTCAATATGCCCGTTTCCGATCAATCAGTTAGATGAGATGCACTAAGGTTACTTTAAGGAGATTTCTCATGTAATGCCTTCCTTCTACCTGTGACAGATAGACATAACTTTGACTCATACTGTAACATCAAGCTAAAAAAATACCCCAGGGCTTCCCTGGTGGCGCAGTGCTTGAGAGTCTGCCTGCCGATGCAGGGGACACGGGTTCGTGCCCTGGTCCAGGAAGATCCCACATGCTGCGGAGTGGCAGGGCCCGTGAGCCATGGCCGCTGAGCCGGTGCATCCGGAGCCTGTGCTCTGCAACGGGAGAGGCCACAACAGTGAGAGGCCACGTACTGCAATAAAAAAAAAACAAAAAAAACCCCAGACAAACAGTAACATAACTTTGCTTTTTTTTTTTTTAACTGTATATTTACATTCATCATGCTTTTTTCCCTTGACTCTAAGGATGATGATGCCAAAGCATTGGGCAGAAATCCAAAGAGAAAATCTTGTCAATTACTTTGATTTTTCTAATTCTCCAAATATTTGACCTCAGGTAGCCCAAACATCCAGATAATTTACCAAAGCTGCATCTAAACACATGGTAACCAAACTGTTACTGAGCCATTTCGGCCAAATTGTTCAGCCCTGGCCCCAGAATGACTACAGAGTTTTGACCCTCGCTAATTCCACCACTGTATGGTTGTAGCAAGAGGGCCCATCTGCCTGATTCAGTTCATTTCACCTTGCCTTATTTCCCTCCTTTGGGTTATTACATTCTGCTGCTATGTCTGTAGGCACAATCTGAGTTTTAATATTTCCATCCAGGGGTTTGGGTGAGGCAATCATGGGGAGAAATACTTCTCATCCCAGGGTTCCACTGACCCTACCCCTTGGAATGCTGCTTCCTCCCTGTGGGGTAATGAGACATTCTCTCTCCCAAACTCTGGCCTGATATTGAAAACCTTTCCCTCACATTCCACTTCAGCCCCATTTTTTCATGCTATGAAAACTGTTTAATCCTCTTCTTCATAGCGCTCTTTGCTTCCTTGCCTTTATCTGCCACAGTAACATGTCAAGATAAATCTTAACACAATCTGTTTTCTTTTCTTTGTGATTTTCTATCCTTGACATCAGGGTGAAGATATTTTTCTTTTAAAACAACTCCTGGCAATTCTCTGCCCTTTTGTTCTGCTTGGATCTGAGCACCCTGTCATTTCTTTGTGGTCCTCAGTTTTATTTTTGCTCTGGCATCACTGGAAATCATGGCATCTCACTCAGTAATGTTAGCTATGAGCTCTTATGAGCCAGTTTATCCTTCTCCCAGACAACTGCAGAAGAAACTCAAATTCCTCTGATGTTGCTGCATTTGGGCAGATCCTTGTAGCAGTGGAGGTTACTGATTGGATTTCAGCAACGTTCCCTCCCGATGTTTTCACCAACAAAGCTTTTCTTGCATTTTACTTCACTTGGATAGGGTCTCCTGGCTCTTTGCACCCTAGTTTAACATCCCTCAGTAACTGCTCAACTGCTCTTGAATACTTACGACCACCTCAGCCCTTCCTCAGAAGACCTTTTGGGTCCTGCATCCTGGGTTCCTTGGTTCCCCTTGGCCTGGCTCTTCTTCCTTCCCACGGGTTCACAGCATGGAGCCCTGGAACAGCTGAAGGAGCATTATTTGGGTTGGAAGGAGGAGACCCTTCATGCTCTGTAGTAAATGTGTGACATTGGGCAAGTTATAGCACTTCCTTGGGCCTTTGTTTTTTCCTTCTAAACACATGGACTAGATCAGATTATCTTTAAGGGGCCCTTCCTGCCGGCTCCCCATTTCATACATTGTGAAATGTTGGGGTCTTTTGAAAGTCCTGGAATATACTGCTCTGTGGAAAGTTAGTTGAATCAGTTGGCTAACTAGTAGTCCTTAATGGTAACACTTACAATTACCTCGATTTCTGATGAAGTAGACTGATGATTTTTTATGACACTCTGGTTAATACCACCTTAAGACACTAAGTGATTTAACCAGTTTTGTTTACTACCGTCTCCAGCCATTTCATATTATTTGGCCCATCCCTGACTAACGAAAAAGAGTTTCATTAAAAAATTCATTCATTCACTCACTCACTTATTCCTTACTTTGTTCACCAAAGGACAGTGCTAGACATTTTCCATATCCTCAAAGAATTTATACTCAAGCTAACTTAATTTCATGGGTTAAACTCTGTCTAGAAGCAGGGTCAAAAATAACAATTCTTGTGGTATTTTGAAAAGCAGAAATTAAAAAAAAGCACTCATGAAAGATGTGATCCAATTCATTGGGATCAATATTAGGGGTTTACTTGGAAAGATTGGCCTCAATAGAATCTCAATTAATATGCTTTGAGTATGTTACTTTTTTTTATTGATTTGATGAGGACTGGCTGAATAGGTGTGTAATTCTGACACTACAGAATATAAGCTATTTACCTTTCAGGTAGATTTTTCTTAGACCTCTTCAAAAATAGGGGAATTCAGTAGAAAATATATGTGAAAATGTCCATTGACAGTAAAGCGTCACTATTATTATCATCTAAGCTGCCAGGATTTGGTAGTGGGGGAATAAAACTGTCACATATGCCTGCAGAGTGTTAATCAATTACTCAACTATGGGGACAGAAGTCTGACCCATGTGTGCATCACCTGGTTCAAAAGATATACTCCTCTCCTTGGATAAAGGACAGCTACTTAGTGTGGTGGCCTATATTGTAGAATTTGAGAGCCAGAGTGATTTTTATGGGTCAACAGCACATTTTCAGCACATAACTTTGACTTTGAAGGAAATGATCCAAACATGAGAGAGAAATGAAATAAGATCATTGGAAAGACATCAGGTGAAAATACTCCTTGCCTAAGTAGAGAGTAAGAAAATAACCACATGATAATTATAATCTTGCAAAAATAAAGCACAATTAAGCCCCCACTGTCTCTCTTTCCATCCCCTACCTCCCCCCATCCTATGCATATCTTGCCATAATCCCGGGCTAGGATTTCTCCACTCAGCCAGGCACACCCAGAGCTAATTTTGCTGACTCCTGCTTCTGAGCCTGTGTCCCCATCTTTTCTCAAGAGCTGGAACGTTCTCCTTATTTCTAGTCATGTCTCTGCAACTCACGCTTTCCTAAAAGAACTCTGCAGGACATCCCTCCAGACTATTGCTTTATTTGGATTTTGGAGCATCCTTCACAGATATTTGTCTCCTCTTGCCCCTAGACTTTAAGTTCTTGGAGAGGGAGAATCATCCCACCTCTTTATCTTTGCTTACCACATCTCGTCCTTTCTGTCCTGTCTTCTGAGCAGTTGCTGGGCAATATTTTTGACAGAGAAACAGTCTTCTGAGTAGAGCAGTTAAGTTTCAGCAAGATACAATCCCAGGCTGTTCAGTGCCTTACAATGCCTGCCTATAGAAAGGAAAAGACATTTTGGGGTGACATTTGATCCCCTCATCTACTAGAAACACAAAGGAGTCTAAACGTCAACAAGGTTTTAGGTTACTTACAGGCAAGTTTTCTACTTCAGTGATTTCAGAAATCGGGTGGATTGTTCTTTGTCTCAGAAAGAATTCATTTTTAAGATGCTGATGGCCTCAGCTCTGGCTGGTGGCCAGCTTCAGGAAGTGTGGTTCACAAGCCGTCAAGGACTGTGCATACTCCACATTCCTTGGGTAATGCAATTCTGGACCCAAATCGATTCCAGAAGTCTGATCTTCCAAGAGGGGCCAATGCTCTGAGCTTGTTGAACAGTCCCTCCAGGCCACCCCCTGCCCAGCACCCAATCAGCCTGGAAGGGTTAAAGCAGCCAATCAAGGAGCTAAGCGAGCAGTTTGGTGAGACCAAAGTTGCAGGGATCTGAACAAGTTGATGAGCTTGGCAGCTTGTGTTTGAAGAATTTGTTTCATGTTTTGGATAAAGTCTGGGAATTTATCCTTCAAAATTCCTTAGATTTAGTAACATGTCAATGCACTGTGTTAATGCAAGGAGTTTTTCTTTTTTCTTTTCTTTCTTTTTTTTTTTTTAAGGTTAAAAGCCGCCTTCCTTTTTAAGTATGAGTAATCCATCCAAATCCTGCCTAAGGGAACAAAAGGGGTGCCGGTAATTTTCTCTTTCACAAAATGCAGAGACTTCCTCTCTGTCCTCTCCAAGTACTATTCTATGAACTGAAGGGAAATTACACTCCTCACCATTGAAAAAGAGATTATGCAAAACGAGAAGGTAAAGCCAATCACCATAATACAAATACAAATACCAGCTTAATTCTTGCATTGCAGAGCCCTGTGCCTTTTCTTTCCAGATGCGGGTGTATAAACACATCTACCTTTTTTTTTTTTTTTAAGTTCTATTATCTGGTATTTTTAAGAGCTCACACAAAATAGAATCCTCAGTAGGACATCATACGCTCCAGCTCGGTACTCCAGATCTTACAAAACTCTCTTCTTTCTCTTAAACAGAGAGCATCTCCAGACAGTCTCCTCACTAGGGGCACCAAAACTCAAGGGTTGCTATTTCAGGTAGAAATTAACCAAATAGAAAATGATGAGAGGCAGAGGTGGAGTAGACTATCCCAAACAAAAGTAATAGTTGGATAACATTGAATTTGGGGAATTATAAGCAGCTCAAAATGATTTGATATCTAATAGTTACCACTCACAAAATAGTATGTGCCAAGCTCTGGGCAAAGTGCATTGTGTACATTATCTTTTACCTTACAGACTTTGTGAAGACACCTCTAGTTATAAATATGGTCACTGAAATTGAGAGTGGGTAAATCATTTGTTCAAAGGCCAGACATTTAGTAAGGGATAGATATGGCATTCATACCCAGGTATATCTGGTTTCAACACTACTGGGGGTGAGGATTCTACCTGTGGAGTTCTGCAGAAGTCAGATGCCAGACAAGGGAATGTGGAATTTATCCTGTAGGCAATATATGATGGGAAGAGAATAAAGTTCTTTGGGAGGAAGGCATGATTAGATTAGTGTTTTAGAAAGATAACTTTGTTGGCCATGTGTAGGATAAATTGGAAGGGGGTGATTCCATATTTTTATTTAGTACTCATATTATTCTACTTTATATTAAAGTCGGCAGTTTTTGCAATTACTTTTCTGGTGGATAGGGACTATGTTTAATTCTTTATCCTTCTCACAACATATGGTAATGAATGAATGAATGAAAGAATGAATGCAATTTTAACTTAGAAAATTTCTGTGTATAGCAAGGAGACCAAATAGCCACTTACCAGACTCCATTTGCTGACCCCTAAAACTGTCATCAATATAAATGAACAACTGGCACTAACTTTGGGAAGAAGCCTTATGAAGTATGAAAATACAGCTAATATTAGGAGAAAGAGTACTGAAATGAAAAATAAAACCTTAGTCTTTAGGAGACTTGAATTTGAATCCTAGGTCTACCATTTGTTATGTGTGCTTAAGCAAGTCTCTTCATCTTTCTGAGCTAGAATTTTCTCATCTCTGTAATGAGAGTAATCTTTGAGGAAAGCACTACTGATTCAGACAAAGCATAAGGGGGGATTCCGGATACGTGTAATGCTTGATTTCGTGATCTAGACAATGGTTATATGAGTTCATTCACTCTGTGAAAAGTCATCAATTCCACATTTATGTGTATATTTTTCTGTATGAGTTTTATATTTCAATAAGAAAGTTTATTACAAAAAATAAAATCAGGAAAGTTGGATCTAACCTTATTTATTGTTTTTCCAGTTTGGGTACTCAGTGGTCATAACTATTGATTCTTGACAGAAATAAAAGTATAGATATTGTCATGCCAAAACACAAATATCATGAGAAACTAGTCCATGAACTCTCTGGAGAAGCTGTTTAAAGAATGAAAAAGAAATAAACTGGAATAGAGGGACTGCTGGTTAAACATGGCAGAATGACCAAAAGTGTTCAGTACCACTTCTCAAACCTCACTAAAAGGGCAGTAAACAAATGTAAAATGCACAAACCTACTATGACAAAGGAAACAAGGAAGTAAATGTCATAAAAGTCAATACTATTTTAAAACTTATTTTTATTATTTTTAGTTTGAACTAGTTTAAGATTCATGAGAAGTTGCAAAAATAGTAGAAAAAAATTTCACCCAGCTTTCTGCAATGAGAACATCTTATATAACATAGTATATTGTGAAACTCGAGAAATTGACATTGGTATAATACTATTACTCAAGTACAGATCTTATTTGAATTTCACCATTTTACATTCTCTCTCTCTCTCTCTCTTTTTCTCTCTCCTCTCTCTCTCTCCCTTTCTTTCTCTTTTTGTTTTGTTTAGTTTTCTGTTTTTTGGTGTCTAGTTCTATGAAATTTTATATGTCTAGATTTTATGAATACTTACCACACTCAGAATACAGAACTATTCCATCACTATGAAGAAATTTTTTATGTTACAATTAGTCACACCTCTTCCCCACTTCCTGACAACCACTGATCTATTCCCTTGCACTATAATTTTGTCATGTTGAGAATATTATATAAATGAAATTATATAGTGTATAAATTTTTGACATTGGCTTTTTTTCCCAATCAGCATAATACCTCTGAGTTCCATCCAAGTTGTTGCATGTATCTATAGTTTGTTCCTTTTATGCCGAGCAGTATTCCATGATATGAATGTACCAATTTCTTTATCCATTCACCTGTTCAAGTAAATTTGTGTGTTTTCCAGTTTGGGGCAATTATAAATAAAGTTGTACAATAAACATTTGTGTACAGGTATTTGTGTAAACATAATTTTTCATTTCTCCAGGATAAATACCCAGGAGTATGACTGCTGGGTCATGTGGTCATTGTATGTTTAACCTTGTAAGAAACTGCCACATTTTCTAGTAGCTTTACCAGAAATGTATGAAAGATGTGGTTGTTCTACTAGCCCTTGGTGTTATCAGTGTTTTTTTTTTACTTTAGCCATTCTAATAGATGTATAGTGATATCTTATTGGAGCTTTAATTTGCATTTTTCTAATGGCTAATGATGTTGAACATCTTTTCATGTGTATATTTGTCATCCATGGATCTTCACTGGTGAAGTGCTTGTTCAAATGTTTTGCCCATTTTCTAACTGGATTGTTTGTTTTCTTACTGCTGAGTTTAGAGTTCTTTATATATCCTGGATACCTTTGTTGGATGTATGATTTACAAATATTTTCTCCTTGTCTGTGACTTGTTTTTCATACATTTAACAGGGTCTTACAAAGAGCAAACACTTTAAATTTTGATGAAGTACAATTTATTGACTTTTTTCTTTTATGGGTCATGGCTTTGGTGTTATGTCTAAGGGCTCTTTGCCTAACCCTTAGCCATAAAGATTTTCTTCAACGTTTTCCTCTAAAAGTTTTATAGTTTTATGTGTTGCATGTAGATAAATGATCTGTTTTGAGTTAATTTTTGTATAAGGTGTGAATTTTAGGTTAAGGTTCTTTGCTTTGCCTGTGAATGTTTAGTTATTCCAACATTTGTTGAAAATGTATCCTTCCTTCATTGAAATGCTTTTGCATTTTGTCAAAAATTAGTTGGCCATATATGTGTGGCTCTATTTTGGATTCTTTACTTTGCTCCATTAATCCAGGTGATTGTGCCTTTGCCAGTACCACTCTGTTTTGATTATTTTATCTATATAATAAGTCAAAATCCAGTCATGTTCTTCCTCTACCTTTACTCTTCTTTTTAATATTGCTTTTGTTATTGTAGTTTCTTTATCTTTTTATATAAATTTAAGCATCAGCTTGTCTCCATCTTCAAAGAATCCTTCTGGGATTTTTGATAGAAATTGCTTTAAACCCATAGATCAATTTTGGGAAAACTGATATGCTTATTATGTTGAGTCTTCTCATCCCTGAACATAGTATACCTTTTCATTTATTTAGATCTTTTTTGACTTCTTTCATTTAGCATTTTGTAGTTTTCAACATAGAGATTCTGTATGTGTTTTATTGGATTTATAACTTTGTATTTCACTTGGTGGTGACTGTAATTGGTATGATGTTTAAAATTTTATTTTCCAATTTTTCATTGCCAACATATTGAAATATGATTGAGTTTGTGTGTTGACCTTGACCCTGTGACCTTATGAGACTCCTTATTAGTTCCATGAGGTTGTTTTCGGGTTTTTTTGGTAGATTATTGGAGTTTTCCACGTAGAAAATTATGTTATCTGAAAACAGGGAAAATTTTTATTTCTTCCTTTCTGATCTGTGTGCCTTTCATTTCCCTTTCCTGCCTTTTGTACTCACTAAAACATCCAGTACTATATTTAATAGAAGTGATGAGAGCAGACATCCTTGCCTTATAGTTGATATTATAATTGGTGAAAGCATTCAGTCTTTTACCATTAAGTATGATGTTAACTCCAGGTTAACATCAGATCTTTATCAGGTTGAGAAAATTTTATTCTATTCCTACTTTTCTGAGAGTTTTTTAATAAAAAAAAACTGAATGGTATTGAAATTTGTCAAATGCTTTTTTCTGCATCAACTGATATGATCATGTGATTTTTCTCCTTTATAGACTGTTAATATGTTGGATTACATTGGCTGATTATCAAATATTGAACCAATCTTGTATTTCTGGAATGAAGCCCTCTTGGTCATGGTGTAGTACTATATTATTATATATTTCTATATTTCAGTTGCTAATATTTTGATGAGGAGTTTTTGCATCTCTGTTTAGAGGGATATTGTCTGTAGTTTTCCTTTTTATAAATTATGAATTCAATTTCTTTAATGTTATAGATAACACAGGTTATCTATTTTCTTTTGGGTGAGTTTGGTAGTGTGTGATTTTTGAGATAACAGATAAGTTTATCTAAATTGTCAAATTTATGTGTGTGGAGTTATTGTAATATTTTAGAATCCCTTTAGTGTCTGTGAGGACATTACCAATATTGGTAATGTATGTTTTTTAATTTGTCAGTCTTGCTGGTGGTTTATAGT